CAGCCACTAATTGAAATATTCTTAAACAAAAGACTGTCAATCGAAAAAAAAGTCCAAATAAACCGACACATTAGAAACAAAAACCACAAATTTTTTTCTACAGTCAATTGTTATCTGCGTAGTCCCACGGCAGCAACGGCTTCTTCAACTCTTCCAAGTGTATCTCATAGAGACGACAAAGTTCTGGGAATTCACTATTCGTTTTTGGATTCTGTTCGCCAGGGTAATCCTCCAAATGGCCCAACGGTTTGAATATTGCCTTCAACACGTCCCACTTTGGTTCCGGTTTATCAACCACGTATTCTGCAAGTGCCCAATTCTTATAATTTTTGTATTTAATTATTATTACTTATACTAATCAATTTTTTTTTTTTTTTTGACATTACTTTTACGTAGAATTTAGCAAATATAATGAGGGCAAACAGAATCACAAACAGAAAACATAAATAAATTAACTGCAAACACAATCAATTATAAAATAAATTAACTGCAAACACAACCAACCATTACATTATGTTTTCCTTTAAAAAAAAAACATAGAACAAAAAAACAAGTTAAAAATAAAAACCATAAACTAAGTCATAAAATCCTGTCTACCTGCATAAGGAGGTCGATCACCTTTAGCAGGAGCGGATTTTATGCTTCCTTTCTCATCGAAAAAAATAACATTGTAGATATTCAAAGCAATATGATCGAACAAAATGGTGTATCCATCTTTTACTCCATTATCATGAAGGAATCTACGCCAACTATCTTCGAAGATGACGCTTCCGGCATTTAGACCAGCGACAACAATCCAAGTGTTCCCCTTGTCATTGTGCAGTCGAAGATGTACAACCTCCCGCTGCCTAATATATTCATCTACGGCAGGGGGTAAAATCTGCAATGAAGATACGTTCGTGTTATATCTGATATGTTAACATGATGCAAAATGGGAAAATAATAAACTACCGTTATTGGGATTTTGGTGCACTCAACACGGATGATGAACGATCTGTCCATCTGCAAAATTGGATGAATAGATTAATTGATGAGTTGTTCAACTTTGAAATATTGAAAGGGTTTCTTGGTTATTTGCCTTAATTTATGACCGACTCTTTATCTTCCAAATCGTACTCAATGCTTTGCACCGTGTATTTAATGTATGGTGTGTAGGAGTTGGTGTTGTATAGATATCTTTATTAGGGTTTTAATAATTAATGATGTAGGGTGTGTGTAGAAGTGAATGTTACACCAAAAAGTGTAATCATTATGTAACATGTTCATCACTTTAGAAATGTAATCATTATTTCTCGGTCATTGTTTAAAAAAAAAATCAATTAATCTTAGTATATGTAACATGTTCATATTAATATTATATAAACTATTCATCTTATTATTTTACATAATTCAAAAGTTGCCATGGCATATAATAAACATATCCCTATCCAGAACACACAGCATATAAAATTACAGCATAGTTCATTAGTTTACAAAGACAAAATAGAGTAGTTTATACCGGTCACAACAACTACATAATAATCCTAAACACCAGCTGATATCCTCCTAGCAGCACAAATGAACACGAACAACCTTCCATCAATCCATTAATTTCATCTTATTATAAAACATATTCATCGTATTATGTAACATGTTCATCTAGCTATTTAACATGTTCACTAGATTATGCAATAT